TTTCTTTCTTTCTTTCTTTCTTTCTTTCTTTCTTTCTTTCTTTCTTTCTTTCTTTCTTTCTTTCTTTCTTTCTTTCTTTCTTTCTTTTTCTTTCTCTCTCTCTCTCTCTCTCTCTCTCTCTCTCTCTCTCTCTCTCTCTTTCTTTTTCTTTCTTCTTTCCTTCTTTCTCTTTCTTTCTCCATTCTATGATTGCAAAGCCCGCTGGCAGGAAAAAATGTTGGAAATGACAATGAACTTGTCCTTTTTGTATTTTATTTGCTGGGCTGGTTTACATTTTAATTGGTCTGAAAGGCAACATTTGGGCTATAATTGAAGATGCATTATGTAATATTAGATCCTGTATTTCTCCCAGATGCACAGACTGTGCCCTTTCATTTAAAGAAAAAGCAAAAACAAAGGCTGAGAAGTCCAAGCCAATGGAAAAAAGGCTGGATTTAAGCCAATGTTTGAACTGTGATTTCTAATTTTGTTTAGCTGTTCTGCACACCAACCAAAAATAAAATCACTCTGTTCGTTCTTTTACTTTTATTGTGGCTGTGGATTCTTTTGTTAAGAACACATTATGTTTTCTGTTTCCTTGTTTCAAAACAAAGAATGGTCAAACCCTGCATAGCTGCTGCATGTGGTCTGGGTTCCAGATGTGGATGCTATTTTATTCCTGATGCAAGAATTGGGTGGGCTTAGATAGTCCCCCAGTGAGAACCAAACTGAATGAAAATACCAACAAAGATGCAGAGTCTGTCTCTTGGCTTTATACTTGGTAACTGTAGTATGCTTTATTGTCCAGTGGGAAATCTGTTCTATTAAATTATCTCTAAAGTTTTCATTTAGATTTTATTTTCATATAGCCAAAACAGAATTTTTTTTCCTGTTTTCATTTTTTATTAGCACATGTTGGCATGCATATCGATTACCTTCACTGTGAGGAGTTAGTAAGTGTACATAATAAATCTCATTTCTTTTATCAACCTCCTTCCCTCACATTCCTTCTCCCTTCCTCCATCTCTTGATCTTCCCAAGTTTTTAGGGTTAGCTGCTAATAAAAATCTATTTGCTAAATATGTTATCAATCTATCTACTATCTACTCTTTTAGTAAATAAAAAAGCATTACAAATGAAAATACTGAAATGGGATGTCATGTTTAATCACTGTGATTGCTCATTTAAAAACACAGACTCAAAATTGAATTGGCTGTCATCATTAGGCATTAGATAAATCTACAAAGAGAAACCACAACACATTTACTAGGACAGATATAACTTAAAACATAGACATAAAAAGTGTTGATGAGGGGGCTTGCCTGATAGCTCATTTGTTAAAGCACCCCTTGGGCAAATACAGTCAGGTTCAGGGGACCATGGTTTGATCTCCAGCGCCACAAACTGCACCACACCCATCCTTAAGGCAGCCAGAACTAGCTTAAAAAAAAGTGTTGATTTGGGCCAGTGAGATAGCTCAGTGGACTAAGTGCCTGCTTTGGAAAGTGCAGGGACCAGGGTTTGATTCCCAGTCCTGCATACCATGCTGGCCCTGCCCCCAGGGTGCACTGAGCTGGTGACTGGGTTCAGGCATAGTGGAGCACACCTGTAATCCCAGTGCTGGGAGGCTGAAAACAAGAGGATCACTATGAGTCTGAGCTGTGTAGTGAGATGCTGTGCAAAATACATAAATGAAAAATAGTAAAAGAAAATAAAAATAAAAAATGTTGATGAAGATATGGACAATTTGAGCACCTTCATCTACTGCTGGCAGAAATGTAAAATGGACTCTGGAAAACAGTCTGACAGTCCTTTATACAGAATGGCATGGTACTGGCACAGCTACAAGAAAAACGTAGGGAAACATGACTCCATAGGCACAAGCAAGAGCGTTCTAAATAGGACTCATATATCATAGGAAATAAAAGAAAAAGTCAACTTAACTACATCAAATTAAGAAACCTCTGCACAAAAAAGAGACAATCAACAGAGTGATGGGACAACCTGTGTCTCTCCCACTGTGCTCCTCCCCTCTGCTTCTCAGCCACAGTGAACTGAGCAGCTCTGCCTGCCATGCCTTCAGCACGCTGTGCCCACCTTGGGGCCAGCTGACCATGGACTGAATCCCCTTGAAAGTTAACCAAATCAGACCTCTCCTCCTGTAAGTTGTGTAAGTTGGGCACTGTGTCCCAACGTGGGAACACTCAGGAATACAATGAGCAGTTAGCAATTCAAGGTGCAAGGTACATCCCTGGGGTCATGCCTTGGGCCAGTTACCTTGGGATCTTGCTGCTGTACTAAATACAACTTTGTACCTGAGTAGTGACGAATCTAAGCCAGTAAGAGGAGATGGAACCTCCACGGAGACCTACCCCATTTTGCTGCCAGGAGAGCAGTGTGAAGACAGAGCTTAAAAAGAAAAGAGGAACTGAGTCATAAGACATTAGTCTTGTGTATTAGTCTAAGAAATCTGGGCTTCATCCAATGCAATGCAAAAACACAGAACTGCCTCTGACTAGGGCATGAGTGGCCAAAGCACAAGTAAGAGTAGGGTGTGTGTTCTAAGAAGATATATAGACCACACAGCAGGAAATGGTTGTGTCCAGTTGGAAGGAAAACTGTATTGGTATTTCTCTAGAAACGATTTTTTGCTTTGCTTTGCTTTGCTTTGCTTTGCTTTGCTTTGCTTTGCTTTGCTTTGCTTTGCTTTGCTTTGCTTTGCTTTGCTTTGTTTTGCTTTGCTTTGCTTTGCTTTCCTGGCAATCCTCTTGCCTTAGCCTCTTGAGTGCTAGGCTTATAAGTGTGTGCAAATCTTGCCCAGCTCAAAAAGACTTTTGATGAGAAAGAAGAATTTGAATGAGGGCCAGCCAAATAGTTCAGCGGATGAAAGTGCTTACAAGCAGGCTCAGGGGCCAGGGGGTTGATCCCCAGTGCTGCTGTGCCAGCCTTGCCCCCAGGGAGTGCTGAGACAGTGATTGAGACTGGGTTTAGTGGTGTGCCTGTAATCCCAGCACTTGGGAGGCTGTAAACAGGAGAATCACTGAGTCCAGTTTAGTAGCGAGACCCTGAACACCCTGTAGATCCTTCCCTAAAATACAGAAAAAAAAAAAATAATTTGAATGAAGCCTTTAAGATTGAACATGATTTTGACTAGCAAAATAAGAAGAACAGCTTTACAGGCTGAGGAAAAGGCATGAATGAGGACTTCATTTGGAAAGTGTGAGTTGTGTAGAAGTAGTTCAGAATAGGGTCACTGGGATTAGGGAGAAGGAAACCAGGATATTCCCAGGAATGGATACATGCACGCAAGACATTTGGGAGCAGAAAAATCCTTGAACACCACACTTTCCCCTCACAGTTTTACATCTGGAATTGTTCGGCTAATATAGATGGACATCAGCAATGAACTAGTTGCCACATGTTGGAGTGCTGTGTGTGTGTGTGTGTGTGTGTGTGTGTGTGTGTGTGTACTTACTATGTGGCTGAGTTATACCACTCCTGGCTTAGAATATCACCAAGTTAAGTATGGTATAAAACAACTTTTCCTCTCCCCTAAACTCATTATTGTGCAAATTTATAGAAAGAGTCAAAGAATGGTAAATGAATACCCATATGCCCTTTACCCAAATTCATCAATCACGCACAACTTTCCAGGAACAGCCATATTTTATTTATGTATGTATGACTATACTTTTGTATATCCATATATAT